GACTCTTTTGGCGCCAAGTTCTTCTAAACGGCTGTCAAAAAACTTTCCCATGGCATTAAAATGTTCATAAGTTTTGTTTCCAAGACCGAAAACCTAAATTATTTAGAAGATATTCTGAGTCCCAAGTTCTAACTTTTTATCACCATACAAGGTTACAAATTTTAAACTCATACTGCATATCTGATCCCATGCAGATCCGTCCCCGTGTGTTTAAAATATTCGTGAAACTGAACTGCATTGTCCGTTGGATCACCCTCGCCGTACGTAGCCATGCAAAGAATCAAAAGAGCATTGGGAATTTTGGTAAAAGTTACGAAATCCTCCAAGTCTACTTCTTCTGGGTCTAGCACTACAGCCTTAAAAGTTTGCTACTTAATAATCAAAGTGAATAAATATCATGATTTTTGAATAAAAGCTAAAGAATGCCAATTACAATTCCATTAGTTAAACTTCTCCAAACAGGAGACAAAGTCCTAACACAGCTTTGCACAAATTTTATATATAGTTTATTTCCAACTCCTTTTTCTTGGTTGTCCGCTTTAAATCTACAACTGCTATTCCTCTTACAAAGCAGCTTTATACATTTTGTACTTTTTAGTGGTAAAGTATAAATGTCATTTATAATTAGAGGAACTTTTTTAAAGATAACTGTGGTTCTATCGAGTGTGTGTGAGTAGTTCCTCTTGCCTATTTCGTTCAAAGATGAGGTATGAACGTGAACACCTAATCTTTTAGTCAGTAACCTTTTGTTTAAATATTTGCAAATCATTCGCCAAACGCCCTGCCAGTTCCTCCGCTGTTCCAGTTTGAGATCCAAACAGTATCAAAATCTAAAAAATGATATGGTATTATCAAACTGGAAGTGTTAGCAGGACAGTAAATTTTTCACTTATTGCTGACCAGTTTTAAAAAGGTGTTTACCTGGCGACCCTCTTCACGCATTTTTGCTATTGGAGATTCAGTACCGCTTAAAACCTTAGGTGCGGTAGCATGGGAGGGCCCCCTAGACCTTAGTTGAGAAGTCTCCTTGTCTCCACTCGCACGTTTGCTACGGAAATAATAAAAAGTTACGAGTCCAACAATTGTGATGATTAGAAGGTCGAAAAGATCGAGTTGAGATCTTATCCACTCTATCATTTTAATAGGCCCAAATCACCAATATTTTCTTTATCGTTAATTTCCTTAATAAAACAGTGTTTAGTATTTTGCTACCAGCTCTGAATATCACTAAACCTGAAAGTTTTTCTAAGAACAGATGATCAAACAGAAATAAATAATCTGCGCTGTGCCTAGCGAGAAATTCGAAACTCAAAGATTAATGTTAATAAACGAAAATTGGTGATCATAGTGCAATTTTGATTTAGATAC